GTTATACGAAGCTATGCTGGTCCTGTTTATATCTTCTCAGTCCCTGACCGTTAAGGATTCAGTCAGAGAATATTGTGCAAGTAAGGGGGGGTGTATAACAGAAGTCTTTTTGAAAAATAAACTGCTTTTTTTTTTTTGTCAAAAGGATTAATACGCCACGAAAACAAGGAGGACTTGGGCCACTGAAGATCCCACTTCTTTCAGATCTGACGCACCAAATTTCAAAAGATTATGGAGTATATCTGGAGGACCAAGGACACACTCTTAGGTATAAAAAGCTGCTGCACTGCATTCTGTCTTGCTCTAGCAGTTAGAATCATAGAAAGTTGGGGTTGCAAGAGATGGCAGGAGATCATCTAGTCCAACTGCTTGTTCAAAGCAGGACCATCCTCAACTAGATCATCCCAGCCAAGGCTTTGTCTAGCCAGGTCTTAAAAACCTTCAAGGATGGAGAGTCCCACAGCCTCTCTGGGTAACCTGTTCCAGTACTTTACTACCCTCCATGGGGGAAAGTGAGAAAACACTTCCTAATATCTGACCTAAACTTCTCTTGCTGCAACTTGAGACTGTTGCACCTTGTTCTGACATCATACCAACACACACATAGATTGTGACACTCTACTATGGAGCTAACTGGCATACTCTACAGTAAAGCATGTGTAGATGTGTGCATTGTGTATACAACCTTAGTCCAGGTGGAAACATTTCAAAAGTTAACTTTATATTTTTTTAATGTAAGAAAAGCTCAGAATTAAAACTTATGGTTCCCTTGTGTGAGTTCGTATGGCTTATCCAGCAAGTATAAAAACCTAATTTTATTCATTTCCTAAGATAAACCACTACATACTCAAGATTAGTTAATTTAATAAAAGAATAAACCATCTTTGAATGTTTGGCAGCTGATTACCAGTGCAATTATTGTTTACTGGGGCAAAATGTAACAAAATAGTCTGTCCCTTTAAGAGGGAACAGTGAAGTTCAACAGGCTAGTAAGAAAGCCCATCTGGGAGACATTTGGGTAAGCAGAAATTGTCCCCCCTGGAAGCTTTAAAAGCTTCCAGAAGAGCAAGCAAGCTGTGAAGAAGAACAGCTTGCTGCAAGGAGGGGCCAGAGAGCTATGCTAGGGGCAGAGCAAAAAGGTGCTCTCCTTTAGCATCTGGGACAGGGCAGAGGGATTTTGGTTGCTTTGTTTCTTTATTCTTTAAAAGACTGAACTTTGCGTTAGTGGGGTGGCTGAGGAGTTCATAGGAAGCAAATTTCTCCTATGAAAGCCAACAGGCTAAGTAGCCTGCATACACAGCAGCATAGTTTAATACAGTAGTGCTGCAGCATCAAATAGGTAATGAAGGTAGACTTGGAAGGAACAAAGTCCTGTCTAAATATTTCTTTTATTAGCTACAGTGCACAAAAGTGAAAGGTAAATACAGTGCCACCCATGATGGGGGGGTGCAGATTCTAACTGACATTATGTTATTGCTGAAGAGTACACAAAATAGGGTTATATGGTTAGTTTTCAACATAGCAAAAAACTAATGGTGGGATTCTGTACTTGACCAGTGTTTAATACTTATTTAAAAAGTTGAACAGGATGGTAGCAAAATTTGCAGATGGTTACTTCAGTCAGTCAAAAACTGGAGGGATGCAAAAAACTTGAGACAGTTTCTGTGTTGAAGTGGCAGCATGACAGGAAAATGAAAAGCAGCATAACAGAACATTCAAAAGTAAAGTACATTACTCACGTAACGTACACTCATGCCTTCTAAGGGTGTGAATTTTAACTTTATCGACACAGGGAAAATGCCTTTTAGACAACTGAATGACAACTTTTGCTCAGTGTAAAATTATGGTGAGAAGAACAAACACATTATTAGGATGCATAAGGATAGGATGAAAACACAGAGGTGTTGCCATTATGTAAACCAGTGATATGTCCTTATCTGGAGTATTATGCAACACCAGGAATATCCCCTCAAAAGTCTGAGGCTGGGGAAGAATCTGACCAAAGATTTTGAGATTGTTTTTGAAAGAGAAATGAAGTGGCCAATCAATTATGTAAAATAATAAATGGTAAAGAGGGGGCATATCAGGAACTAGGACCTTTTCCTGGAGAAGGAATATTCAGTAAAATTGGAAGGTAGCAAATTCAGAAGTAATAGAAGGAAATTCTACACAACGCAAGGACACTCATTATTTCAAAAACACCTTGAAATCAAGAATTTTGCTACATGTAAAAGTATGGTATACTTGCATGGGTGTCAGCACTTCAAATAGTTCACTGTAGCAACATTTCTAATGAAAGTTTACAAACTCTGAAGCCTAACATATGCTAGGGTAACAAACTAATGCAAGATAAAAATTACCCCTGTTGTTTATAAGTGATGTTTTTGTACATCTCCAATTAGTCTGGTTCTGCTTATTTACAGAAGTAGGAGGCTAGATGGAGTAACCATCTAGTGCAATACAGCATGGCAGTTTCTACAATCTACTGTTAGAGTGGACAAGAGCTCTCCGGGTCTTTACATATAAGCATAACAAGTGCTTTGCTTAATTAGTATACTAAGTATCTGCAGCCAACCCTTGGCTTATGTATTTCAAAGTGTCTTATATTCTCAGTTAAACAGTTCAGTGCTATTGATACAATACTAAGTCTGCAGTCTACTTAGACTGCACGCTAAGAAATAAATATTGTTTTATAGACAGTGTTACAGGATTTCCATGTGAAGTCTTTATAATGCCAAATTACTGGATTGGTAAAAATATATATACAGTATTAAAAAAAATACTATCATAATAGAACAGAAGAAGAATGCATTTTCATTACTTCTGATTTGGCCTTGGCATTATCTGAAAAGTGCTGCAGTGAAGGCACTTCTCAGCAACGGAAAAAATGAAACATTGTCAATAAAAGGGTCTTCCATTTATGCGATTGGTATTAAAGACTCTCTAAAATGTGAAAAGGTAAGTCCATAATACTTTGGATGCACAATGAAATAAGTAACAGTAAGGAACTTGCTAAGAAAATTCAGGGTTTAAGACAGAATTTCTGTTTGTATAGTGCTTGCAGAACAGACGTGTATATTCCACAGCCTCTGAATACAACGTGAATAACAGAGATAAGAATCATCAGTTCTGTTATCTGAAACAAGACATTCCTTCTTTTCCCCCCCCACAGAGGCCTCTTCATTATTGATGATAAGAGGGTCCTTCGACAGATCACAATGAATGACCTTCCTGTTGGCAGATCAGTGGATGAAACACTTCGTTTGGTTCAAGCATTCCAGTACACCGATAAACATGGAGAAGGTCCTTTATTCAGTATTTTGGCAATGGGACTTGTGTTGAGTTTTTGCTTAACTAAATTAGAAAGGTTTTTTTTAACAGTGATTAGGAAACAAGGCATTTGATAGCTTCCAAGACTGATTTATCATGCTATAAAGAGTTTTTTGGTTATGTGGTCTCAATATTCAGCAGGCCACATGCTTACTCTCATTATTTACACGTGTGAACACAAAATGCAGAGTAACATTTTTACATCCATTTTGCATGTGCTTTCCCCAGGCATGATGACACCAAGTATGAGGCAATGAGAAATCAGAGAGGTAGTCTATAAAGGTGCATATCTACCCCTCTTCCTTCTTAATAAACGTGGACAAGCTAAAAAGTGTTGTCACTATAATTTGTTGGCAACCAAAAAACATGAATGCAATAACCATTTGCGAGACTCTTCTGCTTGTTTTGTATCAGTAAAAAGCATCTCCCACAAATGAGGAGGGGTTGAATGTGCAGGTTAAATGCAGGCTGCAAATCCTGTTGGTTTTCTTAGGACATGACACTAAGTTACCCTCAGCTAATATAATTTAGCATAATTAACTTCAGCATTGTTTGTACCTTTGCCTCCATCCAAGTTATGCCAGGTTACACCCACTGGGTATTTGGCCAGTTTGAGCTTTAAATCTAAAAACTCATAGACACATTCAGCAGCTTCACCAGCTCTGAGTTTCACATGTAGATATTTGCATAGGCAGGTGAATGCATGTGAAGTGACCCAGCTGTAGTTTGTCCTCAGTTTGTATGTTGACATTACCTGTGCAAACAGCCATGTCCTGTACTCAGATTAAAACAGACAAGTTCTCATACTCTCAGTGGTTGATTCTGACAACCAGGCAGCACAACATTTCAGTGAAGCTCTGGAAACTCTACAAGGGCACATGGCTTGTCTATATATACACATACATATACACATGATTGCAGCATCAGCACCCTCATTATCTAAAGCAACTTTCCTAGGTTGCCCATGAAAAGAGCTATATTAGTAAATACAGCTCCCCATGAACAGCAAATACTAGTTTTGCTCCCAGTCCCTTTACCTCCTAAGCCAGATAGCCAATAAAAACAGTTAGCCTCTAGCAAAGGTTTTAGAATAGCTGCATTCCTATACTAATATTTGGTTCCTGGCATTGATTCTAAACAAAATTTGGTTGTCTGCATTTCCACTGACTGGAAATCAGCTGTTCTTATCATAGAACCTCATGTTCAGTGGACTGAGAATCCTCACTGGAGATAGTTATTTGCCAATAATTTCATTAATAGAACCTGGAGAATTTAAAAAAAACCACAAATCAAATTGAAGCCAAAATATATACAAGCAAGCAGGGATTCCCAGTTTTGATTAACAGAAGAATTTAATGTTTCCCATAAAATCAAGTTTCAGTGGGTATTATTTTAGTGACAGTGATGTACAAGAATATTACATATTTAATGGGTGTTTGTGTGTGGTACCTTTTTACTGTTTTATTTAAAATTCAAAAAGATTAATTTTCCAAGAGTATGTTCAGAAAAATAATCAAGTGGGAACACTGATTTTCTTTGTACTCTATTCTTTTTACTAACTCTTTGCTGTTGTTCCTTCCACCCTCAGTTTGCCCTGCTGGTTGGAAGCCTGGCAGTGAAACTGTAAGTAAATACTTATTGTACATGCATTATTGTGTGCACTAATACAAGTTGTCAGTAAAAATCTACCTTAAAACCACAGTCATTATTTATTGCAATTGCCATATTTTAAGAATTTTTCATACAGAAAAGTTTACCTTTTCACATCAGAAGTTTCCTCCTACCTCAACTTTCCAACAAATGAAAAGCTCCAGCACCAAGGAACTCACTAGAGAAAATTCTCTCCTCCAGATACTATACAACTTAAGAACTAATTGTAAGCTCACTGGTCAAGAACAGTTCTCTCACTTCCTGGCCTATAATGTCTAGCACAATATGATTATTCAGCGTGCCTAGATAATACCTTCATATAAACAATAACACTGCTCAGGCTAGGGCAGGATTTATAGGGACTGGCAAAAAAGACAGTGTGCTCCTGTTGGAATTCCAAGATGAAAGGCTCAGTTGCATCGTGGTGTCCTTGTTTGCTGCTTTCCAACATGCGATTGTGAGCAGAAGAACAAGGGCCCTGAGTCACTTCTCACTGAAGTAATTAACCTCAGTGGAGTTGGATTAGGCCCCAACAGAATAACAAAAATATTGTGATAAGAAACTGTGCTGCAGAAGGCCACCAACTTCATAATTAGAACATTGGTATTAGTTTGAGGATGCTGTTTTGTTTGAACCAGCTCCTTTCAGCTGTGGGCACAACAAAATTATATTTAAAAAGCGCCTTAAAAATACTACTCAAGGTTTGGTAGCAGTTGAAGTAATTTATATAGTGTCTGTATCTGGTTATCCAGGGCTGTCCAATTTATCAGCCCCCAGGAGTCGTATGCCATGCTAGCCACACCAGTTAAGCCACAGGCCACCAGGCTGCAGTGCACAGGCACCCCTCCCCATCCCCACCACTGCAACAACACCCTCACAGGCACCCCACCCTACTGGTGCACAAGGTGGGATGTTTAAATTCAATAAGGAAAGTGGATTAGCTGACGCACCGATATTTGAAAGTTATACATTCCGTGATACTGGCCAGCCTGAATAATCCATCCATCAGCAGTTGCTAGGCATGTAACATTTATTGTAAGGAAGGTTGAGCACTTCTGTGAAACAGCGATATTCATAAAATGGAACACCCAGTTGATGGCAATAATTTAGATTTTTAGAAGTTACTTCTATATGGCAGCCACTGTTTTAGTACATCTGTATTCAGCTATTCACTCAGTGCTGAGATGCTCAAGTCCCCCAATGAGTTCATATTTCTACAGTAAATAACAATAATCCATTCTGTACAAAAACTGCTGAGCACTTAAGTTGCAACGTAGTTCAGGAACACATTCTTTGGGAGACATTAATATCTGTAGCCCTGCCCTCTAAATATGTTTGATTTGATTAGATCAAACCTGAAGAAGCCATGAGAGTCTGGTGGCCAAGAGAAGAGCTGTAAGTAACTTTTGAGGCTCTTGATTACAGATGTTAATTCATTAAAATCATTTCGAGTTTGCTTTTGGGGCAGGTCAGACTGGTGTGTGCTCCTTCAGCTATGCAGACTTTCTTCCTTAAACTCCTCCCCTACTTTTGCTGCCCATACTCTTCCAACTCCTAGGTATTTCTAAAATAGTAAAAACAGTTGATGAGTAACTTTTAGATGTAGCTTGTGGCAGTGGTTTCAATACATGATGTACTGTTTGCTTTCAGATTAATGCTTTCACTTTCTTACAGATAATCCCAGATCCTGCTGGAAAACTGAAGTATTTTGATAAACTAAACTGAAATTTGCTTCTCCTGACCTACACAAATTACATACAACTTTAAAAACCTGCCAATAAAGTTTCATTAATTTTGTTATATCCAGGTGTTTGTCTGATTTGTAGCTGCTCTCTCAAAGTACAGGTCTTAACATCCAGCAACAGAAAGAATGGATACAATTTGTCTTTTCTGGTAGGTCTTCCTAAAAGAAGGCTGAGAGTTTTAGCTTGAATTTGCCTATTCCTTTTACGTTGAACTCATGTGGTCTTAGACATTAACCTGCACTAGTAAAATGCCACTAATGCAATCCGTCTGCATCCTTTAGTTTTCAAAAAGCCGAACAAGTCTGGCTGCATTCTAGAACTAGTGCCACAGCTGAGGAAGTGGCACCCGGCTGTTGGTGATAGTCTAAAAGCCAAATGGTTGAGTGTCAGGAAAAAAAACTAAACCTGAAACCAGGAATACAACTGGTCCTGTTTTGCCATTTAAATTATTTTCTGTCTAAAGACAAGAAACATTGTTGGCTGGCACCAGTTGGCATAGTATCATCGATATAAATGGAACTACACCAGTTTTATCATAGAAAAAATTAAATGTAAAGACCAATCCTTTGCTAACACATAAACTTCTGTGGTCTTTGTCAATACAATAAGTAGATTATAATTTACATTATGGATAATTCTCCCTTCACTTCTTCCTATCCACTTGCTATCATAGCACCTAAATTCAGAAGGGGTGAGCTGCAAAATCTTTCTAGACCAGCACAGGTGTTCTGCATGGATTGAATAATATTGGTCACCAAACACTTGGGTTTCATGCACACACATTTCTTCCCACAGATCAAAAACATCACCACTAAGGTATGCTAGTTCTTCACTAGCACTTGGAATCCCTCTTAAATGTGTGTCGTCATGTGTGCTTTGGCAACCCACTTCCTTTAGATCTTTTCAACATAAGTTTATGCAGTAAAGGCAACTGAAAAAGCATCAGTGTTGTGAATAAGAATTCAACCCCTCCACGAGCCACAGGAGTATTGGATTCTTTAATGTTCTAAATACAACAGTATCACCGAGGCTTGTTCCTCTTGCGCACTGTATTTCTTACAATGTTTCCTGCCCCCTGGCGCCTGATGAACTCTCACTGAACTATATAGTATGGCTCAGGATACACTTCCTAGATTGTGTACCCTCCGCCAAGTGACAAGCAGACCTCTGTGTGCCTGCTCAGCAACCTACCACATTGGAGCCCCAACCTGATTGAGGTCTTTGAGCATCACTGTAATTAAAATACTTACAGCCTTTTTTGTACCAGGACCCATTTGTAAACATTGATGGCCAGTCCCGACCCAGTGCCCCTCACTCCTGACCCACTGCCCCCGGGCCCCAGCCCCCCACAGGGTGTGGGGCATAGGGAGCCCCAAACAGCCTCTCACAGGCTGGAACTCCGACAGTCTGCAAGGAAAAGCCACAGTTTCCCACATTTTTCTCCTTTAAAAGGAGAATCCATTTTTTAAATTTTTTGATCAATTTTTAAAGGTTGTTCATGACCCTTTTATCATATTCTTGGGACCCACTTTTGGGTCACAACCCACAGGGTAAGAAACACTGCTCTAAACAACTCTAGAAAATTCTTGGTTGTAACAACATTAACCAGAATACATTCCAGGAGGTTTTCATTTTCCTGTTAACTTTAGATGACAGGTGGGCACTTGGCCATGACTACTGCCTGGGCACCCAGGGAGAGCCCAAGACTCAAACAGATCTAATGTGCCCTTTGCTATGAAACAGCAGCTGCACTCCTCTCACAGGTACCAGTGAGAAGTTTGCCACTCCTATCTGTCATTTTACTCACCACACCAATATTTCAACTCTTCAGCTCAGCAGCAGGCAGGTAACTGTCATTCAAGCCCCAAATTGACACGAATAGTAGGATATTTGTCCCTCCATCCTGACCCAATGAAACAGAAAGAAGGCATAAACTTCACTGAACATGCTTCTGCTTGCAGCTATTCACTACACCAGGTGGCCTAACAGGCAAACAGAAGAAAATGACAAAAGCCCCTACAGTACATTAGAAATCTACATTCAAAGCACTGGGGAATCATGCAACAATGGCATCACCAAACACCTGAATGCAAGATGTGTAAAATATTGACTCCCAGAAACAAAAGGGAAACGCAATAGGAGGTAGAGTATTTACTAGTTGGAAGAGAAGAGCTGGCACACAGGAGTTGCTTGTAAAATGGCAGGTTTAGGTCTGAAGCAGTACAGCTATTCCAGATGTAAAGGGCTGGCTCTAGAAGTTTATGCAGGGGTGCTGCTTGTAACAAAGCAGTACCAACTGATTTTTTTTTTTTTTTTAAAGATAAGGATCTGACAGCTGAGTAAGGGAGTGGTTCTGTATATTGGAAACAAGCTTTGGAAAGGAAGAAAATTAGTTTGAGAGGAAAGAGAAATTTGTACATTTTCCCATCCTTAAAATATACAAGGGGAAAAGACATGGGGGGGAGGTGGGATGCATAAAGATAAAGGGACCAAGGGAGTGTTGTTCAGGGAGAAAAGCTGGGAAGTGGCAAGGATGAATATGGGGCCAATAGAAGGACAGGAGACTGAACACCTACCACCAAGTGCCTCCAGGACAGAACAGGAAAACAAGCTGGACGAGCTCAGACTGCTACGAAAAAGGAAAACTGCAAGAACCATAAGCACTGCCACCTTGTAACATTAGGATCATTATTAAGACACCAGAAGCCTCCACGCTGCTCCAAAGATTGGAGATGAGGGAGCAGAAAGTCACCTGTGCCCTAGCCCATCCACAGCTGTGACAACCAGAACTCAGAGGATCTGATGATCTATTCCATCATCACCAGCAAAAGTTATACCGTCACCCACCTGCATCAGACTCAGTTACATCGCGCACAGATGAAAAGGACTAGCTGGTCTTACGCTCAGCTTTGCCATTGAGTTCTCTCTTCCTGTTTTAGACCAGCTTTCAAGAAACCCTGGTGCATACAGCTGTTAAGCATTAGGGTATTTTGAGTTCCTTAATATTGTAATAGCTTTGCAAGTAGATGCAAGTAGTTAAAAGGCAGCAAGGTAGTTCCCTGGAGACAGTGGAATGGGAGATGATGGAGACAAGAAAGAAAAATTATGATTAATGCAGAAAAGAAATAAAGGGCTGAAGATTGTTTGAATTTTGATAGTTGTCTGAAAGGTCATCTCCTTTCCCTTTGGGAGATATTTACGTACCTTATTATCCCAATACAGACTGCTGAATTGAGCTGTCACTTACAGAACAGTTCAGATGTCTAAAATGAGAGTGGGAAATTCTCTGGTTATCACCAGGTGCTTGAGAGGATTATATTTTTCATACTAAACTGCCCATCAGTGTTCATTAGTTTTGTGATCCTGGACCAGAATTAATGCAGGAAACCAAATTCTGTAACACAAGTCTGGCAGTAGTATTGTCCCAGATGGGATACGTGGCAGACAGACCCTTGTAGGTGCCTGTGCACTCCCAGTTTGTTGCTACCTTTTTCAGCTCCTTTCTCAAAGACCTCTCACTTGTGTGCAGCTGAAGAATAGCTGACAAGAGATTTAAGACTGTTTAGTATTAGATTGTGGTTTGGGGCAAATCTTTGGAGCAGTTAAACATTCACTGCTCTGTCCATTTCACTTTCCACAGTCACTATAACTAACAAAATTGTGAGTCAAAAATCAGTCTATGCTTTCCTGGTTTATGCTTATTCTCCATGTCTGCTTCACTGTTAAGTCAAGCCAAATGCTTTTCATGCCAGAGGAAAATGTATTACTCATTCGCCATGATTACAGATATACCTGGTAAATAGCATAATGGGCTTCTGCACAGCACAAGATCTGTGGGTTTTCAAGGCCTAAAATTAGCTTCCTAAAAAATATTAATGAATCAAATAAAGAAGTGGCCTTAGATGAGTGCATGGTCTCTTTGGCTGAAGTCAACAGGCACTGTAGGTGCTCAGACCATTTTTATTTAGATATATATTAATAAATTTAGGAGACTGACTTCCAGCACCCAGATTTCAAAATGTTGGGTTATCTGTTAGTTATGTAAAGCTTCACATACGAAGCATTCAGCTCCAAAGACAGAAGAAATCATGATTAACTTCAAGTGAATTCAAATAGGCGAGGCAACGCTTGTGAATACTAATTAAGGATAAAATCTGCAAGATGTTCTTGTCTGTGCTGTCAGTATTTTTTATCAATGGCAATGGAAACAGTGAAGACATTTAACTTAATTGAATTTTTCATTTCAAAACTTTCATCAGTATTTTCAGCATGGCTTCTTAGAATTTGCATGGGGGTGCCATCTTCAACATATCTTCTGCCCATTGTTCCAACGTTTTTAATGAGTGAAGGTTACTTTTACATCAGAGTGATCAAGCAATAGGATTCTCTGCCTTCTGTGTAATTTTATCTGCACTTTCAACCTCTTCTCATTCAAAGAAATGTGTCAGGTCTGATATGCAAAGATGTGATCTAAGTCTACATAGTATTTAATGTATATAGAATCATAGAAAAGTAGAGCTGAAAGGGACCCAAGGAGGTCATCTAGTCCCATCTCCTGGTCAAGGCAGAACCAGACCAGCTCTGTCTAAACAATCCCAGGCCAATGTCTGTCTGACTTGCTCTTAAAAGTATTCAAGGATTTCACAACCTCTCCAGATAATCAGTTCCATGGTGTAACCACTCTCAGAGATAGAAAGTTCTTCCTACTCCAGGCTTTTCTTGTCTTGTCGTCTGCAGCCAGAGAATAGTTTATCACTTCTTCTTCATAACCACCCTTCACCCTTCAAGTGGCTGAGGACTGCTATCAAATCCACCCTCAACTTTATCTTCTTCGGACTAAACAATGTCAGTTTTTCCTACCTTTTTCACATGTCATGTTTGCTAGTATTCAAATCTCTCCTGAAATGTGGTGCCCCAAAGTAGACACAGGATTCCCAGTAAGGCCTCACCAGTGCTGAATACAGCAGAATTGTTTCCTTTGTCTTGCAAGAGACTAGTTAATGCACCATACTGTTGCAGGCAAATAGTTGTCCCACAACTATTAAAGCAGTGTATTG